CAGCAAAGGGGGTTGATGGATGAATCAGCTCTTCATCTAGACCAGGCATCCTCAACGTCAGCGCTTAGCAACGTCTGGGGCTCGGTCATTCTCCTGAAGGGTTGTCCTGGGCACTGTGGGATGTTGAGCTGCATCCTGGCCCCCACCCACTCAATGCCAGAAGCACTTTTCCACGCAGTCGTGACAAGAGAAGTGTCCCCAGATGTCGCCATGTGTCCTCTGGGGGGATAGAGTTGTCCCTGGTGCAGATGCACTGTTCTTGGCTTGGGGGTGGGGCGGGTCCCAACGTGGACACCAGTGGGGAACAGGCAGTAGGCCTAGCTGAGGGGCAGAGAAAGTGTTCTCGGCCCCCTGGACTGGACGTGAGGCTATGCTTTTTCCAAGTCTGAATGTGATGTAAATTGAGCGCCTGGGGATTTAAATTTGGGGGTTTGGGACACTCTCCATGGTGTCTTTGTTCTGTGTCCTTGAGAAAGACCTTTTCTCTGTGTGTGTTTTCTTTCTTTCTTTTAAATTTTTATTGGAGTGGAGTTGATTTACAATATTGTGTTACTTTCTGCTGTACAGCAAAGTGAATCAGTTATACACATACATATATCCACTCTTTTTAAGATTCTTTCCCCATATGGGTCATTACAAAGTATTGAGTAGAGTTCCCTGTGCTATACAGTAGGTCCTGATTAGTTACCTATTTTATATATAGTAGTGTGTATATGTCAATCCCAGTATCCCAATTTATCCCTCCCCACCTTTCCCCCCTGATAACCATAAGATTGTTTTCTACATCTGTGACTCTATTTCTGTTTTGTAAATAAGTTCATTTGTACCATTTTTTTAGATTCCATGTATAAGTGATATGATATGGTATTTGTCCTTCTCTGTTTGACTTACTTCACTCAGTATGACAATCTCTGGGTCCATCCATGTTGCTGCAGATGGCATTATTTCATTCTTTTTTATGGCTGAGTAATAGTCCATTATATATATATGTACCACATCTTTATCCATTTCTCTGTTGATGGACATTTAGGTTGCTTCCATGTCCTGGCTATTGTAAGCAGTGCTGCAATGAATATTGGGGTGCATGTGTCTTTTCAAATTATGGTTTTCTCCAGGTATATGCTCAGGAGTGGAATTGCTGGATCATATGGTAGCTCTTTTTAGTTTTTAAGGAACGTCCATACTGTTCTCCATAGTGGCTATACCAATTTACATTCCCACCAACAGTGTGGGAGGGTTCCCTTCTTCTCCACACCTTCTCCAGCATTTATTGTTTGTAGATTTTTTGATGATGGCCATTCTGACTGGTGTGAGGTGATACTTCATTGTAGTTTTGATTTGCATTTCTCTAGTAATTAGTGATGTTGAGCATCTTTTCATGTGCTTTTTGGCCATCTGTATGTTTTCTTTGGAGAAATGTCTATTTAGATCTTCCGCCCATTTTTTTGATTGGATTGTTGGGGTTTTTTTGTTATTGAGCTGCATGAGCTGTTTGTATATTTTGGAGATTAATCCCTTGTGGGTTGCTTCGTTGGCAAATATTTTCTCCCATTCTGTGGGTTGTCTTTTTGTTTTGTTTATGGTTTCCTTTGCTGTGCAAAAGCTTTTGAGTTTCATTAGGTCCCATTTGTTTATTTTTGTTTTTATTTTCTTTAAGAAGTGGGTCAAAAAATATCTTGCTGCGATTTATGTCAAAGAGTGTTCTGCCTGTGGTTTCCTCTAAGAGTTTTATAGTGTGCGGCCTTACATTTAGGTTTTTAATCCATTTTGAGTTTATATTATTTTATTTTTTTAAGGGATTGGGTTTTTTTGTTTGTTTGTTTTAATTTAGTTAGTTATTTTTGGCTGGGTTGAATCTTCGTTGCTGTGCGCGGGCTTTCTCTAGTTGTGGCGAGTGGGGGCTACTCTTCATTGCAGTGGGCGGGTTTCTCATTGCAGTGGCTTCTCTTGTTGTGGAGCATGGGCTCCAGGCGTGTGGGCTTCAGTAGTGTGGCACGCGGGCTCAGCAGTTGTGGCTCATGGGCTCTCTAGAGGTCAGGCTCTGTAGTTTTGGCACACAGGCTTAGCTGCTCCGCGGCATGTGGGATCTTCCCGGACCAGGGCTCGAACCCATGTCCCCTGCATTGGCAGGCAGATCCTTAACCACTGTGCCACCAGGGAAGTCCCTAATTTCATTCTTTTACATGTAGCTGTCCAGTTTTCCCAGCACCACTTATTGAAGAGACTGTCTTTTCTCCATTGTATAGTCTTACCTCCTTTGTCATAGATTAGTTGACCATAGGCGTGTGGGTTTATCTCTAGGCCTTCTATCCTGTTCCACTGATATCTATTTCAGTTTTTGTGCTAGTACCATACTGTTTTGATGATTGTAGCTTTGTAGTATAGTCTGAAGTCAGGGAGCCTGATTCCTCCAGCTCCATTTTTCTTTCTCAAGATTGCTTTGGCTATTTGGGGTCTCTTGTGTTTCTATACAAATTGTAAAATTTTTTGTTCTAATTCTGTGAAAAATGCCATTGGTAATTTGACAGAGATTGCATTGAATCTGTAGATTGCTTTGAGTAGTATAGTCATTTTGATAATAGTGATTCTTCCAGTCCAAGAACATGGTGTATATCTGTCCATCTGTTTGTGTCATCCTTGATTTCTTTCATGAGTATCTTATAGTTTTCTGAGTACAGGTCTTTTGTCTCATTAGGTAGATTTATTCCTAGGTATTTTATTTTTTTGATGCGATTGTAAAAGGGATTGTTTCCTTAATTTCTCTTTCTGATACTTCATTGTTAGTGTATAGGAATGAAACATTTCTGTGTATTAATTTCATATCCTGCAACTTTACTGAATTCATTGATGAGCTCTAGTAGTTTTCTGGTAGCATCTTTAAGATTTTCTATGTACAGCATCATGTCAGCTGCAAACAGTGACAGTTTGACTTCTTCTTTTCCAATTTGGATTCCTTTTATTTCTTTTTCTTCTCTGATTGCTGTGGCTAGGACTTCCAAAACTATGTTGAATAAAAGTGGTGAGAGTGGACATCCTTGTTCCTGTTGTTTTTTTTTTAAGCGTTTTAAAATATATATATTTATTTAATTTATTTATTTTTGGCTGTGTTGGGTCTTTGTTCCTGCACACGGGCTTCCTCTAGTTGTGGCGAGCGGGGGCTACTCTTCATTGTGGTGCGCAGGCTACTCATTGTGGTGGCTTCTCTTGTTGCGGAGCATGGGCTCTAGGCACGCGGGCTTCAGTAGTTGTGGCACACGGCTCAGTAGTTGTGGCTCGTGGGCTCTAGAGGTCAGGCTCAGTAGCTGTAGTGCACGGGCTTAGTTGCTCCGTGGCATGTGGGATCTTCTCAGACCAGGGCTCAAACCTGTGTCCCCTGTATTGGCAGGTGGCTTCTTAACACTGTGCTACCAGAGAAGCCCTGTGCCTGTTTTCTTATCGACAGTATTGGAAGGAAATATTGCTGGCCCCATTCATACATTGATTCATTCATTCAACAAGTATTTGTTAGGTACCTGCTGTGTGGTTCCACAAACCCTCTAATGCCCAAGGTGACTGGGAGGCAGACAGATGTGGAAGGTTTAACACACAGGAAAAGGTCACCCAGTGGCCAATTCTGTTGTGGGGGGACATGGAGAGACAGACTGGGATAGAGAACCGGGGTGGTCATGGAGGGCTCCCTGAGGTTGCACCATTGTACCTGGGGGATAAGGATGAGCTTCAGGTCACCCAAGCAAAGATCTGGGGTAAGGTGCTCCAAGCAGAGGGAACAGTGCATGCAAAGATCCTGACGTGGGAACCAGCTTGGCATTTTTCAAGAAATGGAGAGAAGAGGAAAGAGCCTCCAAAGGGCTTAGCAGCAGTGTTAGGCATAGATCTGGCCCTTGGTCATGGTTAACTCATTATAGTAATAATGCAACCTGTATCAGTTAGCTATTGCTGTGGAACAAATTACCCCAGAACTTCGTGGCTTCGAAACAACAAACATTTATTATCTCATATAGTTTCTGAACATCAGGAATCTGGTGGCAGACGAGCTGGATGGCTCTGGCTCTAGGTCTCTGATGAGGCTGCAGTTAGGCTGTCTGCCGGGGCTGCCTCATCTGAAGGTTTAACTGGGGCTGGAGCCTGAGATTGGCGCCCCCATGTGGCTGGAGGTGGGGAGCCTCAGTTTCTCCCCTGGTGGGCCTTTCTAGAGGACCACTCACATCATGGTTTACCCCCGACAGAGTGACAGAGAGAGTGACTAAGAAGGAAGCCAGTGTCTTTTATAACCTAATGTCACAGGTGACAGCCTATCACTTCTGCCATAGTCTATCAATCTCACAGAACTCTGGGACAACATTGGAAGGACCACCCAAGGCTTGAATACCAGGATGTGGGGTCACTGGGGGCCATCTAGGAGGCTGACCCTTCCTGAGTGACTTCCAGTCATTGGGCTCAGAGCTTTCCATACGTTAACGCAACTCAGCTCCCTGAAACAATCCCATAAGTGGGCTTATTATCATCCTAATAGGCAGTATAGTCTTGTAGTTACGCACATAGCCTCAGCCTCTAGAGCCAGACAGCTTGGGCTCAAATCCCAGCTCTGGGAATTCCCTGGTGGTCCAGTGGTTAGGACTCCATGCTTCCACTGCAGGGGGTGCAAGTTTGATCCCTGGTTGGGGAACTAAGATCCCACATGCCTTTTGGACAAAACAAACAAATCCCAGATCTGTCACCGGCTGTGTGACTTGGGGCAAATGACTTCACTTCTCTGGCTCACCTTCTTCCTCTGTGAATGGGGAAAATAGTAGCAGCTACCCGCTGGGTGACACCAGGCAGGTACCTCTGCTGTCCTCTTGCAGAGGAGGAGAGGGAAGGTGGGGGAGGTGAGAAGTCTTGCCCAAGGTCAAGGTCTGGTGATAGGTCTGGTGAGTTTTGAAGGCATGGGGGGGGGGCGTTGTCTGGGCCGCCTCCCAGAGCCCCCTTTCTGGTGATAACCCTGTCTTTCTGCTTCACAGGTCTGCTCTGCAGCCCCCAGGGGACCTAGTACCCGTGAGCAGGTAGGGACACCGGGCCTGCAGCGCAGGGGGGCGGTGTGTGGAACATGACTCCATCACCCAGTGCTTCTCCCGCCACCGGAGCCCACACCAACCTGTGCCCATGGCCAGCACAGGGCCGTCGCTTTCTGGCGCCTTTGACATTCTAGGCGCGGTGGGCCAGGATAAGCTCTTGTATCTTAAGCACAAGCTGAAGACCCTGCGGCCAGGCTGCCGGGGGGCGGACCTCCTGCATGCCCTGGTGCTCCTAAAGCTGGGCCAGGAGACCGAGGCCAGGATCTCCCTGGAGGCGCTGAAGGAGGACGCCGTGGCGAAGCTGGTGGCCCACCAGTGGGCTGGTGTGGACAGCACTGAGGCCCCAGAGGAGCCCCCAGACATGTCCCGGGCCGTTGCCAGGATGTACCACCTTCTTGCCGAGGAGAGGCTGTGTCCAGCGCCAATGCGGGAGGAGGCCTACCGCGCAGCCGTCCGCGCTTTCAGGTCCAGGGACGACCCACAGCTGGGGGAGCTCCAGGAAGAGGCACGAGACCGGTGCGGATGGGACGTCCTTAGGGACCTGGAGGCCATCCAAACTCTCCACTCCAATCTGGGGTGCCTCCTGCCATCCTCGGCATCACCCTCCGGGACCCGCAGTGATCCGCGGCCCATCGAGGACCTTTCGGACTGGAGCAGAGGGCATTCCCTGAGATCCACCGGCAGCCCGGCCTCCCTGGCCAGCAACTTGGAAATTAGCCAGTCGCCCACCATGGCCCTCCTCAGCACTCACCACAGCCCCCACGGGCCCAGCAAGCTGTGTGACAAGCCCCGGGCCAGCCCGGTGCCCGAGCCTGCCCCTATGGGCTGCCAGGAGCCCGAGGAGATGAGCTGGCCCCCATCAGTGGAGGCTGCCGGGCCCCCGGTGCGGCCAAACAGCCCAGCCCCCAGGCTTCCCAAGGTGGCCTCAGATGCATGCCCCGCCAGCCTGCACGACCCCCCGGAAGCTCCAAAAACCAGCAGTCACTACTCGGTGGAGTGCACGGATGTGCCAGCAGCTCCCAAATCTCTCCCCTCGCCTTCCAGAAACGCCTGCCCTGTCGCGGATCAGACGCCAATCCAACTTTCAGAGGAAGACACCACTTACCCGGCGGCTCAGCCACGCCCACCGACTCCATCGGCCCCCAAAACGTCCTCTCCCTTTTCGTCTCCATCGACCCCTCCTAAGGCTCACCCTACCGTCTCGAAGCCGGGGCCCCCTCCTCCTGAGCTGGAGTCGCCGGAGCAGAAGTTCTATAACTTCGTGGTGCTGCACGCTGGCGCTGACGAGCACATCGCGCTGCGCGTGCGCGAGAGGCTGGAAGCCCTGGGCGTGAGCGACGGCGCCACCTTCTGCGAAGATTTCCAGGTGCCAGGGCGCGGCGAGCTGCACTGCCTGCAGGACGCCTTAGACCACTCGGCCTTCACCATCCTGTTGCTCACCTCCAACTTCGACTGCCGGCTGAGCCAGCACCAGGCGAACCAGTCGCTGATGAGCAGCCTCACGCGGCACGGGTGGCAGGATTGCGTGATCCCCTTCCTGCCCTTGGAGAGTTCCCTGACCCAGCTCAGCCCCAGCACGTCCAGCCTGCTCACCGCCCTGGTGTGGCTGGACGAGCACTCCCCGATCTTCGCCAAGAAGGTGGCCAACACCTTCAAGTCCCAGAAGCTGCGGGCCCGCAAGGCCAAGTGGAGGAAGGAACAGGATGTCCGGGCCCTGCAGGAGCACAGCCAACACCTGGAGGGTGAGCGGCAGCAGGTAGCGGCGTGGAGTGCCGCACAGTCAGCTTACTTCCATAACTACCTGTCCTACCAGAGGCAGATGGAGAAGCTCCAGGTAGCTTTCGGGAGCTACATGCCATTTGAGACTCGGCAGCCTTCTGTGCTTCAGGCGCCATTTGGGGGACCGGGGCCCCTCGGAGCCCCACCACCAGCCTTTCCCACCCGGCCGGGCCATCAGCCGCCATCCCTGCCTCCTTGGCTGGCGGGCATGCCCCCACCGGCTTTCCCGCAGCCCCCCATGGCTTTCCCGCAGCCCCAGGCCTTCCCGCAGCCTGCGGACTTCCCACAGACTTCACCTGTGCACCCTCAGGGCTCTGGGCTGCAGCCCCTCATCATACATCATGCACACATGGTACAACTGGGACTCAACAACCATATGTGGAACCAGAGAGGGACGCAGGCGCCCGAGGACAAGACGCCAGAAACGGAATGACCAAGTGAGTGGACCTGATAACCTCGGCCTTGATTCCTCATCTCCAGGGGTCAGTGGAACATGGGGTCATTTGCTACTTTCAGGACACTGCCGAGAAAATTGACCCCATGACTTTCTGGCCCTCCAGGTAGCCAGAATTGGATTTGTTTACAAATTCTCAGTCAATCCCTCCCTCTCTCTGGACCGTGGTGATGGGGAATGGGTTGGGGGTATGGGTATGGTGGTGTTTTTTTTTTTTTTTTTTTTGCTGTACGCGGGCCTCTCACTGTTGTGGCCTCTCCCGTCGCGGAGCGCAGGCTCGTGAAGCGCAGGCTCAGCGGCCATGACTCACGGGCCTAACCGCTCCGCGGCATGTGGGATCTTCCCGGACCGGGGCACGAACCCGTGTCCTCTGCATCGGCAGGCGGATTCTCAACCACTGCACCACCAGGGAAGCCCCATGGGTATGGTGTTTTAATTGTAATAAATATTTATTGAATGCTTTGACAGCGCCATTGTCCTCTGGGAGACCTCTGCCTGGCCATCTGTCAGGATAAAAACGTAGCTGCTATTGCCATAAAAGGGACAGGAGCCAAACTGTTGCGCACGTTTGCTTTCATTTCATTGGTCAGGATGTAGTCACATGGCCCATCTCCGGCTGCAAAGGAAGCTGGGAAATGTAGTCCTCTGATGGGTCACGTGCTTTGCCAGAAGTGTTGGTTCTAATGCCAGAGAAGGTGGAGAGAAAAGACATTGTGAGTACATTTAGCTGTTTCTGTTGCAGCCCTTTTTGGGGGAAGCGGGGGTCTGCTTTGATGCTCCCACCAAGGCTGGGCTCTGATCACACTGTGTAATCTTCAGCAAGTGCCTTCACCTCCTCGAGCCTCTGCTTTCTTATCTGAGAAATGGGTTTATGAGGCCATTGTTCCAAGGTCATCAGCAGATCGTGTGCGATAGCAGTGAAATACCAGGGACAGTGTAAGTGCTCATTAACTTTGTGCCCGGTATGAAGGGGATTAATCTTTTTCAGGGTCTCAGACCTTTTGAGAATGAGAATAGAATTAATATTTGTTGAGCACTCACCGTTTATCCGTCTTGGAGGCTTTAAATCTAAACCTTTTTTTTTTTTTTTTTAATTTTTGGACTCACTGCACGGTATGCGGAATCTCCCTGACCAGGGATCTCCCCGACCAGGGAATCGAACCCGCGCCTCCTGCAGTGGAAGCGCAGTCTTAACCACTGGACCATCTAAACGTATTTTAATCCTCAAAAATGACCCCCCCCAACGGTAGAAGCTTCTGTTGCTGGTCCCCATTTTACAGATGGGGAAAACTGAGGCAGAGAGAGGTGAATTCTGGTCCCCAAAGTCACACAGATGGGAAGTGGGGAGATTGCAATGAAGTAGTCGGATTTCCAAGGGAGGGAATGAAAGCCAGCCCAGGAAGGGCTATGTGGGCCAGGTGATCCGGGAAGCTGCAGGCCTCCTCTCGCCCAGCAGCGTGATTTGAACACTGACTTAGCATGCCCTTTCCTCCTCCACCAGCCACCCCAAAGGGCGGGCCTGGTGTGAGTCACCCAGACTGTCACGCAGCACTTACTATTTTAGTCGCTGACTCAGATTTTGTCGAAGGTCTGCTTCCGGCTTCCCTGCCATGACATGAAACTTGGGGAGATTGGATTCTCCGGGTGGGGTTGTGGAAACAGTTTCTTTTCTTTTCTTTTCGGCCGCTCTGGTGTGGCTTGCGGATCTTATTTCCCCGACCAGGGAACGAACCTGGGCCACAGCAGTGAAAACGCCAAGTCTCAACCATTCGACCACCAGGGAATTCCCAAACAGACGGCTTCGGATCACTAAGGCTAGAGTCAGCTGCAGTTAACAGGCCATTTTTGCAGTTGACTAATATTTATTGAGCTCCTACTGTGTGCCAGGATTGTCCCAGACACTGGGGTGCAGTGGGCGCGAAGACAGATGTGAACCATCCCCTGCTCTCTTTTCAATCGCAGGTAGAGGTGGAGGGAAGGGAGCGGTGAATGAATCATCAAATGAGGAAGCAAGATAATTTCAGAAACTGAGGAGACTTCAGAAGAAATAAACTGGGCATGCACGGTGATGGGGTGCCTCAGGAGGAAGAACTTTGGCCCAGGTGGCCAGGAAGGCCTCTCTGAGGAGGTGGCATTACAGCCGAGACCTGGAGGAAAAGCTTGGGAAGGAAGGGTTAGATCTTCTGGGCAGAGGAAACAGGCAGTGCAAAGGCCCTGGGGCAGGACCGTGCCTGCGTTGTTGCATGAACAGCAAAGATGGGCAGAGTGAGTGAGGAGGAGAGAGGGTGGTGAGGACCGGGATGGGGAGGGGACGAGGCAGGTCGTGCAGGGCCTTGTGGGTTTCAGGGAGGACTTGGGCTTTTATCCCCAGGGAGGTGGGACCATGGAGGGCTGTGGGCAGAGGAGGGGCGGGGCCTGACTCAGGTGTTCATGGGCGACCTCTGGCCGGGGCGGGGAGGGCAGACTGGGGAGCAAGGGTGGAAGCTGGGAGCCCAGAGGGGACTGGTCCAGGCCAGTGAGGATGGGGGCTGGACCGGGTGGAGGCAGAGGAGGGAGAAGTGGGCCCATTCAGAATGTGAGCCCCTATTTCATCCCTGAGATGTTGTGAGTCGCAAGTCACAGCCCTTTTCTGGGCCTCATCTTTCTCACCTGTACCATGGACATAGTGACCTCCAGTCTGGAACTCCAGTACCTACATGTCCCTGTGTCAACCCAGTATATTTATCTATTTTTATAAATTTATTTATTTAAAATTTTTGGCTGCATTGGGTCTTCGTTGCCGCGCATGGGCTTTCTCTAGTTGCGGCGAGCGGGGGCTACTCTTCATTGCAGTGCACAGGCTTCTCATTGCGGTGGCTTCTCTTGTTGCAGAGCATAGGCTCTAGGCGTTCAGTAGTTGTGGCTCGTGAGCTCTAGAGCACAGGCTCAGTAATTGTGGCGCACGGGCTTAGTTGCTCCGCGGCATGTGGGATCTTCCTGGACCAGGGTTCAAACCCGTGTCCCCTGCATTGGCAGGCATATTCTTTCTTAACCACTGTACCACCAGAGAAGTCCCCAACCCCGTATATTTAAAGGATGATCATTTTGAAATCCCTGGGCTAAGGTCTTTACGTGCTGGATGAACACACTTAATCCTCTCAACAGCCCCAGGAGCTAGAAACAATGCTCCCAATTTACAGATGAGGAAACTGAGGCCAGGAGGGGTGATGTCATTTATCCAAGGTCACACAGCTTATAAGTAGCCTTCTGGGGCAGGAGAAGGAGCCAGGCATCTCTCTACTGGATTCTAGCCCATATGGAGACTCTCCAGCCTGTTAATTGATGACCTCCGTTTTTTATTTTTATTTTATTTTATTTTTTGGCTGTGCTGCACAGCATGTGGGATCTTAGTTCCCCAACCAGGGATCGAACCGGTGCCCCCTGCACTGGAAGTGCAGTCTTAACCACTGGACTGCCAGGGAAGTCCCTAGATTTTTAAAATTCTTTGAAATATTCCTGTTCATTTTGTTACTTGTTAATTTGTGGCTTCTCCACTACACCCTGCCCACCCTGAGAGAGCTGGGGGCCCATGTGTCTTGGTCACTGCAGTATTTTCAGAACCCAGCACAGGATGTGGCACACAATAACTGTTCAGTAAAGTAAATCCTTCTGACAAACAATTAGTGAGCACCTACTGTGTGTAGAACATGCTGGGTGCCCTGGACACAGAGCTGGTCCCTGCCCCCATGGAGCTCACTGGGCAGTGAGTGGAGAGGACATGGATTCCTCCATCCATTTAGCCAACCAACATTTATTGAGCTCCTACTGTGTGCAGGCCCTTGGGCACAGGGATGACTGAGTAGTCACCCTCTCAGGTGACCTGAGACACCCCCATTCTGTCCTCTCAGGGCTCACTGTCCAGTGCCAGAGACAGAATTATGGGGAGATCAGGCCTGTGATGAAGTGTACGGGGCTGTGGAGGCCCAAAGGGGACCCTTGACCAGCCTTGGGGGAATTAAGAGAATCTTCTGGAAGGAGGAAGTAAGCTGACACCAGAGGCCTAAGTCGGAATGAGCCATTGGTGGGGAAAAGTGTCCCTGGGGATGGGCACAGCATGGGCAAAGGCCTGGAGGGGAGACCACGTAGGGAAGGGCAACTTCACACACGGCCACAATTCCTGCTGCCCCAGCGCCCCCTGGTGGCAGCCATCACCTCGGAGGCCAGCCTACCCCACATGGCCCCGTGGGCCTGGGGTATTTCCTGGAGAAGTCCCATGCCCCCTCTTGGCCAAACAGCCTTAAAGAAAAATAGGGGGAAATTTTTTGAAAAGTTTCCCCTTTTTTCTTTATATATTTTAGATTGTGACCTTTTTTTTCTTGGCCACGAGGCATGGCACCTGGGATCTTAATTCCCTGACCAGGGATGGAACCCGGGCCCTTGGCAATGGGAGCACAGAGTTCCTACCACTAGACCACCAAGGAATGCCCTAAAATCCGTTTTAAATTGCACTTCTCCAATCCTCTCCTCTGCTCTCACTTACGTTATATAAGATAATAATAATAACAAGCACAAACACTTCGATAAAACTTACTATGGGCCAAGGATTGCTCTAAGAGCTTTAGTGCAATCCTGACCACATCCTTACAATACCCTTAAGAGGTGGATTTCATTATTCCCATTTTACATATGAGGAAACAGGCTCAGAGAGGTTAAGTAATCTGGCCAAGGTCACACAGCCTATAAGGAACAGAGATTCTAATGAAAAATATAACATGAATTTTTTTTGTTATGAGAATTATGTTATTTTTTAAGTGTACACTTCAGTGGTTTTTAGTATATTTCACTGTATTGCGCAATCATCACCACTATGTAATTCCAGAACATTATCATCACTCCAAAAAGAAGCCAAGTCCCCATTAGCAGTCACTGGGCATTCCCCTCCTCAGCCCCTGGCAATCACAAATCTGCTTTCTGTCTCTGTGGATTTGCCCATTCTGGACATTTCATATAAATGGGATCACATACTATGTGGCCTTTGGCGTCTGGCTTCTTTTATTCAGCAGAACATAAACTTGCATTCCTAGGCCACTCCCATTATCGGGAGCACTGGTCACCACTCTGTGTGTCCTCATTCTTTTTCATGGCTGCATAGTATTCCACCTCTAGAGAGCCCCTTCATAACCAGTATGAGAAACACCCTTGGAACCTGCATTGCTAGAGCAGAGGGGTGCCTAGGGGTCAGTTAGGCAATCCACTGCAAAGCAGAACAAAACTGAGAAATCCTACTTTTATTTTTATTTTCTGGTTGCACCATATATACCTGGTGTGCCCAGGCTCTCGGGTCAGTGAGATTATCAATCAACAAACACACATCTGCAAGCACATGGGCAGAGTTGTTTGCCAGGGTGCTGGTGTGGAGGTTTGCAGATGGCCTGCGATGAGGCAGTGAGCGTCTGTTTATTCTCTTTCTTCTAGAAGCATCTGCTTCCTACCAGGGCCTGGCACTTGTGCTGGGCCTTTGCCAGGGGTCGTTGTGACACTGGAGCTCAAGGTTACCCTGACCCAGACCCCGGCCAGGCAGGGCCTCGGGAAACTGAAAGTCCAGTGGAGCCAGAAGGAGGAAGTTTCTGCAGGCTCTGCAGCCGACACCCACCTCCACCCCCTACTCCTCTGCCCATGCTAATAAAGGGCCTTCTGAAAGGTAGGGTCAGCCCTGAGAAGGGCCAGTGTGGGATTTTTCCTGCAGTGTTTGCTCCAGTATCAGCCCTCTTTCCTCCCAAGGCTGCAGAAACTGCCCTGGTCAAGGTCATGGGTACCTTTGAGTTGTTAAGTCCAGAGGTCACTTCTCTGTTCTCCTCCCCCTCTCGGAGGCGTCTGACCGGGCCAGTCGGCCTCCTTCTAAGAACTGCATTGTCACATGGTCCCCGGGCCCCATACTCCTCCTCGCTCCCGCCTCGTTCTCCCTCCCACCCACTTACCCACCCACCCACCTCTCCCGGACCCCCTCGGGCTTCTCCCCTCCCCCACCCCACCCCTCCCTGGCGGCCTCGTCTATGCCCTCAGCCCTGTCTCCAGCTCGGACCTCCTCTGAGCTCCAGATTCAGGGTGCAGCTGCCCCTCTACGTCTCCACTTGGGGGGTTCACGGGGGTCTCACACTCAACACCGCCACGCGGTGTCTGACCATCCTCGCTAACCTGCTCCTCCCACGTCTCATCTTTGCTGACGGAAGCTCCGTACTGGCAGTTGCTCGGCGAGAACCTGGGAGTCACCCTAGACTGACCTGTCAGCCAGTCCTCCTGCTTCTGCGTTCAAAAAACTGTGCAGAACCCACCCACTTCTCTCCCCTCCTCTGCCCCCACCTGGACCAGCGCTGTCACCTGCACCCTGGTCCCTGGGCTCCCATCCTCGTCCCCACAGCCTGTCCTCCTTGAAGCAGCCACCAGAGGGAGACCGTGAGCATCTGAGTCAGGCCCCGCCCCCTCCTCTGCCCAAGGCCCTCCAGGACTCCCACCTCTTTTTTTTTTTTTTTTTTTTTGCGGTACGCAGGCCTCTCACTGTTGTGGCCGCTCCCGTTGCGGAGCACAGGCTCCGGACGCGCAGGCTCAGCGGCCATGGCTCACGGGCCCAGCCGCTCCGTGGCATGTGGAATCCTCCCGGACCGGGGCACAAACACGTGTCCCCTGCATCGGCAGGCGGAATCTCAACCACTGCGCCACCAGGGAAGCCCACTTCCACCTCTTTTGCGGTAAAAGCCCAAGTCATCCCTGTGGCCCACAAGGCCCTGCACGACCTGCCCCGTCCCCTCCCTGCCCTCACCTCCTCCCTCGCTCACTCTGCTCCAGACACATGGGCCTCCTCGCTGTTCTTCCAACACTCCAGGCATGGTTCTGCCTCAGGGCCTTTGCACGTGCTGTGCCCGCTGCATGGTGTCTTTCCTCCAGATTCCTCCATAGCTCCCTCTCTCACTTCCTCCAGATCTTTGCTCAAATGTTATTCTCTCAAGGGAGGCTTCTTTGAGCCCCCATTTAAAATTCATTTACAGTAGCACCCAGCAATCCCCCTGACTCTGCTTTATTTTTTTTAAGATTCATTTATTTCTTTGTTTCGTTGGTTGGTTGTTCTGAGTCTTAATTGGGACACGTGGGTTCCTTTGTTGTGGCAGGTGGGCTCCTTAGTTGCAGCATGCAAACTCTTAGTTGTGGCATGCATGTAGGATCTAGTTCCTTGACCAGGGATCGAACCCAGGCCCCCTGCATTGGGACCGCGGAGTCTTATCCACTGCGCCACCAGGGAAGTCCTGCTCTATTGTTTCATAACACTTAGCACTTTTGGACAAATATAAGTCACTTATTCATTGCACACTTTGTTATTGGCCTTCTTTGCGAGGACACGAATTTTGTCTGACTTCACTGCTGGATCTTGGGACTGGCACACAGTAGGCGCTCAATAAATGAACAGGCATACCTTGTTGTATTGTGTGTCACTTTATTGCCCTCTGCAGATATTGCATTTTTTCCATATTGAAGGTCTGTGGCAACTCTGTGTCAAGCAAGTCTATCGGCGCCATTTTTCCAACAGCATTTGCTGCCTTCGTATCTCTGTGTCACATTTTGGTAATCCTTGCAAAATTTCAAACATTGTCATTGTGAATATATTTGCTACGATGATCTGTGATCAGTGTTCTTTGACATTACTATTGTAATTGTTTTGGGGCACCATGTAAGATGGTGAACTTAATTGATAAATGTGGTGTGTTCTGACCGCCCCACCCACTGGGTGTTCCCCCATCTCTCCCCATCTCCTTGGGCCTCCTTATCCCCTGAAACACAACCATACTGAAATTAGATCAGTTAGTAACCCTACAATGGCCTCTAGGTATTCCAGTGAAAGGAAGAATCACACGTTTCTTTAAATCAAAAGCTAGAAATGAGGGACTTCCCTGGTAGCGCAGTGGTTAAGAATCTGCCTGCCAATGCAGGGGACATGGGTTCGATCCCTGGTCCGGGAAGATCCCACATGCTGTAGAGCAGCTAAGCCCATGCGCCACAACTACTGAGCTCGCTTGCCACAACTACTGAAGCCCGCGTGCCTAGGGCCCGCGCACCGCAGTGAAGAGTAGCCCCCGCTCGCCGCAGCTAGAGAAAGCTCGCGGGCAGCAATGAAGACCCAAAATAAATTTTTTAAAAGAGCTAGAAATGATTAATCTTAGTGAGGAAGGCATGTCGAAAGCTGAGACAGGCCAACAGCTGGGCCTCTTGCTACAAATAATTAGCCAAGCCGTGAATGTAAAGGAAACGTTCCTGAAGGAAATTAAAAGTGCTACTCCAGTGAACACGTGAACGATAACAGAGTGAAAGAGCCTCCCTGCTGATAGGGTAGAAGTTTTCGTGGTCTGGATAGAAGATCAAACCAGCCAGAACATTCCGTTAAGTCAAAGCCTCATCCAGCGCAAGGCCCTAACTCTCTTCAGTCCTTTGAAGGCTGAGAGAGGTGAGGAAGCTGCAGAAGAAAAGTGTGAGGCCAGCCGAGCTGTGTTCATGAGGTTTAAGGAAAGAAGCCGTTTCCATGACATCAAAGTGCAAGGGGAAGCAGCAAGTGCTGGTGTAGAAGCTGCAGCAAGTTCTCCAGGAGATCTAGTTAAGACCATTCAGGAAGGTGGCTACACTAAGCAGATGTTCAGTGTGGATAAAACAGCCTTCTATTATTGGAAGAAGATGTCATCTAGGACTTCCATAGCTAGACAGGAGAAGTCAATGCCTGGCTTCCAAGCTTCAAAGGTCAGGCTGGCTCTCTTGTTAGGGGCTAATGCAGCTGGTGACTTTCAGTTGAAGCCAGTGCTCATTTACCATTCCCCAAATCCTAGGGCCCTTTAGAATTATGCCCAATCTACTCTACCTGTGCTCTGTAAATAGAACAACAAAGCCATGAAATGCAGCAGGACCCTGTGGTCCCTCCCCCCACCCCCACTCCCCGCCATGTCCTCAGCCTGCCTTTGTCTGTGGAAAAACTTTAGCCAAAGAATAAGCTTATTCAGAGAAGTGAGAAGATGCAGAAACAAAGGAAAACAGTCCAACAAGACTAACTAATAATAGTCATTAAGCATAGTTAAGGACTTTTAGTTCCTTCTCAAGGGCTGTAGATAATATTTTGAGCCCTATCCCGTGAGCTGTCTTGTAGAGACTGAAACTCCCACCAGGTGGAAGAAGTTAACTACATGATGACCAGACTGTGGCCATGACATAAGCTGCCACAGTTCCAAGAATTAGCCTCAAGGAAATGGGAAAAAACCGACCCTGGAACTAAAGATTAACTGTACTTAAAATAATCAAAATGATACTGATCAGACCACCGCATGATCAGTTTCAAGATGCCTGTCAGAGCTGCCTGTGCTGTTTCTGCATCTAGCCCCCTCCCTCCATCTATAAAAGCTCTTGCCCACTGATTGTCGGTGGGGGGCGAGTCAGCCTTTGGACAGTTGCCCCCACCCACCCCCGCACCGTGGTTGCCAGTATCCGAAATAAAGCACACTTTCCTTTCCACCGAACGTGCCTCTTTATTGGCTTTTGAGCTGCAAGCAGCCAGACCCCACTTTTGGTTACGCTACATCTCAGAGAAAAGGGTTCCTTTCAAAATATAACTGCTCATCGACAAGACACCTGGTCACCCAAGAGCTCTGACGCTGACGGACAATGAGATTCTTGTTGTTTTCATGCTTGCTAACTCAATATAGGGAAGAAACTTTGCACTCTATTACAAGTTAATCACTAAAGGGATGTTGCCTGTAAGCCTTAAATTATACATAATGGCCCATCTCTGGGAAGCCGGTCTCCCAGGAGCGTTCATTTAAAACACCTTAGTTCAGATCGCAGGAAACCTCCTGACCAGGTCCACCTGTGAGCGGCTGCAGGCAGGAAGAAATTAACACAACCCAGAACCAGAACTTTACCCCCGCCCCTTCTAGTATAAAAGAACCCGGAATTCTAACTCGGGGAAGGTGGTTCTTTGGGACACTAGTCCACCATCTTCTCCGTCTGCTGGCTTTCCGAGTAAGAGCGCTATTCCCTTCCCCAACACCTCATCTCTTCATTTATTTGCCTGTCGTACAGCACGCAGCACAAGCTTGGATTCGGTAAGGAAACAACATCTATGCTGCAGCCCATGGAGCAAGGGGTCATGAACACTTTCATGTCTTATTCTTTAAGAAATTCATTTTTGGGAATTCCCTGAAGTCCAGTGGTTAGGACTCCGCACTTTCATTGCCCGCGGGTTTGATCCCTGGTCAGGAAACTAAGATCCCACAAGACGGGCAGTGCAGACAAAACAAAAGGAAAAAAAAAAAAAAAGAAGAAGTACATTTCGAAAGGCTACAGCTGCCATGAACGGTGATTCCTCTGATGGATCTGGGCAAAATCAACTGAAAACCTTCTGGAAAGGACTGAGCATTCTAGATGCCATGAAGACCATTCGTGATTCATGGGAAGAGGTTAGAGTATCAACATCAACAGGAATTTGGGAGAAGTTGGTGCCAACCCTCATGGATGACTTTGAGGGGTTCAAAACTTCAGTGGAGGAAGTCACTGCAGATGCTGTGGAAACAGCAAGAGAACTAGAATTAGAAGTGGATTCTGAAGATGGGACAACTGCTGAAATCTCAGGATAAAACTTTCACAGGTGAGGAGTTGCTTCTTATGGATGAGCAAAGAGAGTGGTTTCTGGAGATGGAAGCTACCCCTGGTGAAGACGCTGTGACGATTGTTGCAATGACAACAAAGGATTTAGGATATGACAGAAACTTAGTTGATAAAGCAGCCGCAGGGTTTGAGGGGATTGACTTCAGTTTTGAAAGAAGTTCTGCTGCAGGTAAAATGCTATCAAATAGCACAGCACGCTACAGAGAAATGGTTCATAAAAGGAAGGGTCAGGGGCTTCCCTGGTGGCGCAGTGGTTGGGAGTCCGCCTGCCGACGCAGGGGACGCGGGTTCGTGCCCCGGTCCGGGAAGATCCCACATGCCGCGGAGCGGCTGGGCCCGTGAGCCATGGCCGCTGAGCCTGCGCGTCCGGAGCCTGCGCTCCGCAGCGGGAGAGGCCACAGCAGTGAGAGGCCCGCGTACCGCAAAAAAAAGGAAGAGTCAATTGATGCAGCAAAGTTCACTGTTGTCTTATTTTAAGAAATCGCGGCAGCCACCCCAGCCGTCAGCAGCCATCACCCTGATCAGTCAGCAGCCATAGAGGCCAGACCCTCCACCAGCAAAAAGATTACGACTCGCTGAAGGCGCAATGATTAGCATTTTTTAGCAAGAACGTAATTTGTTTTTTTTGTTGTTTTTTTTTTTGCGGTACGCGGGCCTCTCACTGTTGTGGCCTCTCCCGTTGCGTAGCACAGGCTCCGGACGCGCAGGCTCAGCGGCCATGGCTCACGGGCCCAGCCGCTCCGCAGCATGTGGAATCCTCCCGGACTGGGGCACGAACTCCTGTCCCCTACCTCCGCAAGCGGACTCTCAACCACTGC